CTATTCTTGCGCAATAATTTTATAAATATTTGTAATGGTTTAATTTAAATGAAGTTAGCAAAATTGTGAAGCTTTGAAAAAAATTGTAAATGCGAGGAGTACTTTTTAGAAATGAATCTTCCTAAAAAGCATTGAAGAACTTTTTGGAGAAATGAGATAGATATACATTTCATGATTTGGAATATTTCACTGAAGGAGTCTCTAACAAGTATAATGCGGTTGCATCAGGGGCAAGTATTTGTTGGTCGAATAGGATTAATGTAGAAAATATATGAATACCTAATTGCCTTTTATTGACTTCACTCTTTTTGCGTTACTAAGGGCTCCGCCTTTTCTAATTTCTGCACTCGCTGAGTATTTTTCAAATATGTGTGTTTGCTCGATCTATTTCACTTATTTTTAGTTTGATATAGGTTTGTTTTGATTTCAAATAATAGTAGTAGAGGAACAGAAAAATGTGAGATAATATATGTCTAAGCAAAAATACTAAAGTAAAAAATCCGTCTTTCCATAAAAGAAGAAATACGACTGTATTCTTGTGTTAGAAGTCATAAATACTTGATATTCAAAAAATCGTTCAAATTTTTAATAAGATTTGTAAATACTCTTCATGCTGTTACATGATAATTTATAAGTTCTTTTTTTATTTACAATCATGTTTCTTTTCTATATGCGATATTTTTAACCTCACTTTCAAATTTCATATTTATTAAATTTTATTTTAAGAGTACTAGATGAATTGCTTATGTTAACAAAATTTCATATACGTTAACACTAGAAAAGTCCTCAGTTTTTTATTTTGCAAAATTCAATTTTAGTATTAACTCGAATTGCAATCTTGTAAACCAACTTTCATCGTGACTAAGCAAAACAGTCTTTATATGAAACTTTTTTTAAACATATTCTGTATGACATTAAGAATATTGAAGACAACGTTTCTTCGAACGAAACATATGATATGGAAATTATTGTAATAAATTATATAATTTGAAAAAAAATAATACACATTACATATTAAGTAAATTACCGAGTGATTGATTATTTATTTTGTAAGATTCAAAATGTTTAAGAAATTCATAATTTCTTATTTTATTTATATAGTACTTAAATTAAAAAGGTATAGCTTAGAATTAAAAAATTTAATTAATATTTTAATAAGTCCTATTACAATGAGACAATCGTTAACTTATTTTATCGGGACTCTCACCAAATAATATTGAAATAATAATTGTGAATGGTGTGGACAATGTTTACTAATGCTATGTTAACAAATGAAAAAATTTTAAAACAATTTTTAATATTGTGAGTATACTATAAAATATGGCTAAGTATAAATATTTTCGTAAATAATGAAAAGTATCAATGACTATACGAAATATACTTAATATTTATTATTTATTTATATTATTAATATCTAAATAAATAATAAATTTAACAATATAATATTATTCATTATAATAATATTCAGTTTGTAATTATTTTAATTTTAGTATCTAAAATATATTATTCAGTTACTAATTTATATTTTAAACAATTCGTTTGTTAAGATTTTACATCTGTTTCCTGTTTTTAAATCAATAATTGTTAAAATATAACGATTATGAAACATATAAAATGTTATAATCATTTTTTATTCCTACATATTCCTAATTATCTTATAAAAAAGTATAACTTGTAAAAAAAACAGTACAAATATAACAATAGTTATTCATATAAAATAAGTTTCATACATATGTAATAACCGTATATTAAAATTTTTTGTTTTTATATAATAACTGATACTATTCTTTAATAGTTTTTATTAAATAAACCGCTGCATAGTTGTTTTTCAAAACTTAATTTTAAATGGTAAGAATTTTTTGTATCTTATATAAATAAAAGCATTTGAGTTACAAATTATATGATTAATTTTAAAAATGCAAATTTGAATAATGAGGATATTTATTTCAGAGCTTCTCAGCTTCCTATGATTGATAACTTTGAAATGGACAGACATTAAGAGGATAGAGCTAACTTCATTGTGAAAAAAGCCATTAAAATATTTATAAAACAACGTGATTTAGCCTCTCCTAGGCTTTGTCTGTAGTAAAAAAGTAAGACATAGCCTAGAAAAGGTTAGGTTATGTTCGTTTACTACATTGCAAATAATTACAATTGACCCTTTTTTAATCAACATTAAAGTACACTTAAACCAAATAACTCAAGATATCTTAATGAAGAATATAAACATACGGTAAAATTAATAAACAACAATGTTCTGCCTTTCTAAAATTATTATCGTTGAATTAAATTTTTTACACGTAATAGTTGGTGTTCTAATATATATAAAATAACTAGAGAGTATACACAAAAATGATTAAAAATAACCAGAAATAGAATTCATCTTATATGCACATCCACAATTGCATGACATGCATTTATATATAAAATTTTATTATACATAATTTTTATTTATTTATTTCTTAAATCGTTAACAAATTTATAGTTTATTCAATAAAAGAAAAAACATGGTTTTATTCTTACTGTTTTTTTTGACAGTCACATCTAATTTTATTTAATTTTATTGAAGTATTAATATTTATTAACAATTCGGAAATTTCATTCCGTTTTCTAACGTTTTTGCTTTATTGGTAGTTATTTAGTTTTAGCGTTGTATTTGTTTATAAATTTACTAAATGCCTATAAACAATAATAAACAAATTTTTATATGCTACATTTTATCAATACAATAAACATTCCTGTACAATGATTTCTAAATATATCGATCTACTATGTTACAAATATTAAAATATATTAATATTCTCTTATAAGATATTATTCTTCCATTATACATCTTAAATAGTATATTTAGTATATCAATACACACATATAAACAATGAAATTATTATTTATTAAAATAGTATCTAAATCTAACAATGAAATGTTAATGCGAAATATAATCGCCAATAATAAATATTAAATAATAAAAAAATAACTATATTATTTGTATGTATATCAATTATCAATAATAAAAAAAAGATTAATTGTCATTTTTCAGTTTTATTTGTATTATACTAATAAAATAATGTATTGTATTTCAAAGTCAAATTACATTTATTCAAAATCGTAAAATATTCATAGATTATTTACAAATAAATTTTTTTAATTGTTATGTGTTGTAATCGTATTAATCTCTGCTATTATCTTAAATAAATTATTAATACCAACTGTAATAAAAAGTTAATAAAAGAATTATAAAAATTTTTTATTTTTGTTAATTTTTAATGCTTTTAATAGTGCCACATTTATAATTATATATAATTAAAATTTAATATGTATTCAAATTTTTGATTATTTTTCTTTATTTGAATTTAGATATTAATTTGTAAATAATTTGTAATTTTTATTATTTTAAATTCAATTTCTCAATTTATTAAAGATTAATCTAAAAATATTTTCGTTTTAAAATTATGAATATATATTGAATCTTAGTTAATAGAAACAATTAATAATTATTAATATTTTATTATTTTCTAACAATTTTATAGTTTTAATGAAATAAAATTGGATTAAATTATTACTTATATATTTATTTCTTATATTTTTTTTAACTAATGAAGCTAATACCTGAAATATTGTAATTTTTTGTTGTTGTAATATGTTATTTATTATTATGTTCAACTTTTATTTAAATCTATTTTAAATTTCAAATATTATCGTAAACTTATGCGATACTAAATTCTAAACAATCATGTAATTGTTTTTGTATTAAACTTTTCTTATTAGAGCATTTAGTTTTTGGAAAAAAACTAATGAAAACCCCTTCTAATTCAGAAGTGCTCTATTACATTTTATTTTTGAAAAAGTCCGGAATAACAATTTACGATTGCGCAGAAGCATTGACTACTTACAACGTTGCAATAGATCTAGATATACACGATTTGCTTAAACTTGAATACTTATTACAGTACATAGCACGAAACTTCTACATTCTTTATGTAGAAGTTATATAATTTTAAGTCGTTACATATATTAATTAAAATTGATTGAAAATAAATAGATAACTAATGTATTAACGAGTGAAAATACGGTGAATTTTTCTTCGTTATCCTATGCTTAAAGTTATTAAAATTACATTATAATTTTTACAGTTTATTTGAGCACTTTGTTTACATCTGCTAATTGTGATAATTTAATGTTGGTGCACATTCTTTCAAAATAAAGTTATATAAGAGTTATATACAGTTTATAATTTTTCAATTTACAGTATTCCATATATTACACAACAAACAATTATGTTCTCGTTATTGTCTTCAAACTTGTATTGTCTCCTGCTATATACGTGATTACAAATTAAGCGATTATGTACTTACATAAGTAAATGACCCCATAACAAAAAAATTATCTTTCTTTTCTACTCTTTCTTTTTTCTAAGGTGTATTAGAAAATATACTTAATTAAAGATGACATGCAAATATAAAATGATCAAAACTCAAATTACAATATAGCACGATACAATCATATTGAATATATCTTTAAGAATTATTCTTGCAAGTATATTTATCAATAAATACTATGCCCAAGAAAAGAGTCTAGAAAATATGATACAACCAGATTAATTAAAAAAATTATTAGTACTCATATTCGCCGGTAGATAGATCGTAGTTCGATGTCATTTTCGACAGATACTGTCACGACTGATACGCACGTTCGAAGCCGATTGTAGTCGCGTGCGCCGTAGCTACCTTTGAGCTTTTCAGAAAAGCTTAAAATTGTCAGGGCGACGAATTAATTTGTTTTTTTATTGTGATGTGCTATTTGCGAACATTTTGCACAGGACCCTATCTAAAAATTTACTTATTTATATTTGTCTGACTTTGAATGTAATGTGTGTTGCCATCCGTATACAAAATAGTGTAAGGAAAATAACTACCTGCTGGTTAATATTCGAAGAAGTAAAAGGAATTCTCAGAATTTAATAACTTTTCGTAAATTAGTACCCCCAAATTTACCAGCGTGCTAGCATAGTAAAATAATTGGGTAAAATGTTAAAGTAGCATGCAATGTACGCTATATTTAGGATACAGGTGAGTATTATGTTTTACATGAGAACATTAAGTACCTGAGATTATGCTCATCTTATATTTTAATAGAAATAAAATTTTAATGGAATTATTTATTCAACAATGACAAACAATTAGCTTTAAACATATGATAATCATTTAGTCTTTTGTGAATCCATTTCTTTTAACCTTTATCTATTATTTTATATATTTTCTATCTCTTACATTTCATAGTTCTTTATATTTCTCAATTATTTAATTATCTTCACTTGTTAATATATTACAATACAAACTTAATTTTTTTTAATCAAACATTCAGTTTATTTTTAAATCTAAAATATTTGAATTCATTCCATTTCCACTATCCTGTTTGTATATTTCATTTTTATTCTCTGTGCTTTTTGATTATTCAATTTTTTAAAAATTAATTTCAAGAATCTTTTGCCAAGTATAGAATATTTTCTAGCCGTTCGCCGTCTATCCCCGAATTAAGAATTATAACCTTACTTTTAATATTTTATATTGTATTTTACTTTCACCATTTTATTTTCTTATAAAAAATTCATAAGGATTTTGATTTATCTATAATATATAGTGCTCATTTATAGCTGTGTGAGTAAAAATAATACTAATTTGAACAAAATTAATTTTACATTTTAATTTTCCAATATAATGTTATTTAGTATGATTTGTAATTGCTAAACTTTAAGGATCAGTATATAATTTGTGTTTTCCATTTGATATTAACTAATAAGGTAATTGGAGAATATTCATAATTGTTATTAAAATATAAGTTTATAATTATAAAATATAACAAATTATTCATTTCTTTGAGTAGATAAATTATTATAATCTATCAATACATTATTAAATAATTAAGCAATGTAAATAGAATATATTCTAAAGCATTTCTTTTAATGTGATGTCAATGGTAAATATTTTTCACTATCGATATTAATTTGAATATTAGTTCAAGAAATTTATAGAAAGAATAGAATCACGTATAAGAATTAATATATCATAGTGATACTTTCAAAAGACTACATATGCGTATGCCTTACACTCTTT